CCCCCACTCACCCACCCGTCTCCGTTGTGCTCGACACAGATTTATTCTTGCCCGGTCAAGAACACCACCGAGATTTGCGGTATCTCCTACCCCGGTGAGATTATTCTGAAGCCCATTGACGGCCCCGGCAGTGTCAACGAGTCGAACTTCATGCGCTTCGCCCTTTCCGAGGACGACCCGATCACCGATACCTTCCTGGTCACCAAGCGCAGTACGTGCCACGCAGTGTCGCCCACCGCCCCGGCGCCATCATCCACCATGCTCACCGCGCTCTGTGTCCCTCCATCTTCCCTGTCCAGGCCTCTACTGCATTACGGTGGTCCCCCAGACCGGCAACGCCGAGGGCACCATCTACTCGGTCTTCCCCTATGGCAAGGTCCCAGCCCTGGACTATCCCCTGCTGCCGGTGCGTCATCCATGCGCATGTCCCCTCGGCGGGTCGCATTTGCTCGGTGCCCGTGCTTACCTCCTCCCTTCGCGTGCAGTTCTATGGCTTCCTTGGGCTCTTCTATCTGGCGATCGGCTTTGTCTGGGCCGTCCTCTGCGCCCTGTACTGGAAGGATATCCTGCGTGTGCAGCTTTACATCTCCGGTGTGGTGCTGCTCAACTTGATGGAGTGCATCTTCTACTTTGCCTTCTACAACGACTACAACAAGACGGGTGTTCAGTGTACGCGCCGAAGGCCACGCCCACCTGTGCACGCCCACCTGTCCCCCTCTCCCCCGGTGCAGGCACTTTTTTTTCTTGTCCCATGCTCGCTCTAACATCTCCCCCTATTCTGTCTCTCCCCCTCTCAGCCATGCCCCTCCTCACGATCTCGGTCATCTTCGGCGCTGGTAGCCTGAGTTCCTCCCTGTCGGCCTTCCTTGTCGTCTGCATGGGCTTCGGTCTGGTCAAGTGCGCTCCCCGCTCGGTCGCCATGCTTCCTTTCTCATCCCCCTTCCCCCTGGAGCCTTGCCCCCCCCCCCCCTCACACGTCGACGCCTCTCCCTCTGCCCCGCCTCCTAGGCCCACCCTCGGCACCACTGGCCACAAGGTGTTCATCCTCGGCTTCGTCAACTTCCTGGTGTACTGCCTGTTCAAGGCCACCCAGGTTCTCAACCGGATGCAGGATGCCCCGGAGCAGCAGTCTTACACGGTCCTCATGATTGCCCTGGCCCAGTCCATCATCCTGGCCATCTACTTCTTCTGGGTGCGTTCCCTCGGCCCGACAGGGGCTTGTGCCTTCCCCACCGTCCGCCGGCCCTGACTGACGTCATCCCCCCCCCCCCCTGCTGGTCCTGCAACCGTGGCCACAGATTTCTTCGTCCCTCAGCGAGACCATGTCGCGCCTGGTCCTCCGCCACCAGTCGGAGAAGCTTCGCGCCTACAAGTATCTGAACCACATTCTCTATGTGGCGCTGTTTGCCTTCCTCTTCGGTGTCATTGTCATGGTCCTGCAGAACGCCGGTCCGTCCACCCCTGCCTGCGCCCACCCTGTGACACTGCTTGCCGCTTGGCTGACCCGCTCTCCTTCCTCTTCCGCCTCCCCCGGACATCGGCCGCGCGCATGTAGATGTCCAATTCCAGCGCGAGAACTGGCATCTCCTCTGGTTCACCAATGTCGGCCTCTTCCAGCTCCTCTACACCGTGGTGCTGGTGCTCATTATGTTCCTCTGGCGCCCGACCACCAACAACTCTCGGTGCGGCGGCCCCTCCTCCTCTTGCTTCGCCCCGTTTCGCCCTTTCGCCATTCTCTCCTGTGCGCATTGCTCATCGATCACCCCTACCCCTCTCCTGGCACACTCCCAGCTTCACTCTCGAGCAGATCCCCCTGGAGGAGCGCGTCACCTCGGTGCAGGTCGGCGACGGGAAGCTCACCTCGCGCACGCGCACCGGCCGCGAGAAGGTCGAGACCGAGGTTGTCGACGAGGACCTCAAGTGGGTGGAGGACAACATCCCGGTTCTCGAGGAAATCGAGAACATCCTGGCATCGGACGTGTACGTGTTCCCCCCCCCCCCCCCTCTCTCTCTCTCTCTCTCTCCCCGGACCTTGCGATGCTCATTTCGCCCACCTGACCGCCACTACACCGGTCCCACTCACACATACCTCTGCACACCCACACCCACACACACACACACACACACACACACACACACACACACACACACACACACACAGTATGGCCGACATGCAGGAGCACGTCCGGATGATCAAGAACGAGCGCTCAAAGATGAACTGAGAGTGCCAG